AATTTTAATTTTTCTTTCAATTATTTTTCCTAATTATAATGATATTCAATTTAATTTATTTTTTGTTTCTGACCCATGCTTCATCGACCTGATTATAGCATCAATCATGTCCTTTGAAAATATTAATTTGTTATAACATGTTAAACTAAAATGTTATTTTTTTTTATAAAAAACAAAAAATAGTTAACACAACGTATCATTAACGTATTTTCACTACAATCTCCAACTTTAATTAACTTAGGTCTCTTGTAACATGGAATCACATCTTTTTTTTTTTTATCAACAATAGAAATAATTTTTTTTTCTCTTTTAAAATATGATTGGACAAATTATGTTTAAATATTTTGGGAAGATTTTTTTTTTAAATAACATAAGATTTTTCAAAATAATAAAATCAGTTCACATATAAGTTAGTTTAAACAAATTATCATATAATCATTTTGTTAAATTTTATTTTGTATTTTGTGCATAGGTTAATTTTAACTTGTAAAAAATATTATTTTTAAGAATTTATTTGAACTAATTTCTCCGTATGAATTTATCTAAAAAGCTTTTTTATAAATAGAAATTAGTTCATAAACAAATAAAATATAAAAATTTAAGAAATTTTATAAAAAGTTTCTATAAATTAGGTTATAGAAAAGTTAATTTCAATTTTTTTCCTAATTATAATGAGATTCAAATGTTTTATTTTTCTGGCATGACGTTATGATGACATCAACATTATTTTGTAGTATTAAATCATGTAAATAAAAAAAATAAAAAATGTAATAATTAATCATTTTAAACAAATTGTTATTTTTTTGTTAAGATAGTGATATAATTGATAAAAAAATAATTAATACAATCTAAATTTTAGAAATAACATATATTTAGAAATAATTTTTTTCCCTTCGTATATTTTGAATTTCTTAAAAAAATACTAATAGGTTACCACTTTCATCATGTACACAGAAAGCATTACCGGGAAAAGTATTGAAAATGTAATTGTTGTTTAAATTAAATTCAAAGTATTAAAAAAATTAAAGATTCAATAAGTAATATTATATAAAAGTTATTTTATCAACATTAATTTTATTTAAATTATAAATAATTAGAAAACATTTTTACATTTAAGTTTTTAAGAATGTAGTTTTAAATTTGTAGTTTCAGTTCCATTATAAAATACTAATTGTTGCCAGGCTTTTGATATATTAATTAAGAAATATTTAATTAATACAAATTTGGGAAAAAGGCACCTAACTTTTTGAACTACTTTCGTATTTTTCTTAATGTAAGTGATTATGCATTAATTACGCTTAATTATATGCAGGGATATTGTTAAAAATAAAGCTTAAAAAATTAACACCATATTCAATTTAGACTCATACAACGAGTTTCAATATTATGAAACCCTAATTTGTAGCAGCTTCTGTGGGTTGAGTTTAGATTTAATTTCAACTTCAAATTTAAAATTCAAGTCGTATATAGTTTAACATTTCACTTGGTCAGTCACAAATAGTCATATTATTTGCTTTAAAAATACTCAATTTAATTTATCTTGAAAATTTAAACTTTAAGTTCAACATTCCATTAAATGGGTTTCGGGTCGGGCCAATGACGAGGTCAAGTCAAATTAAAAAAAAAAAAAAGTCAAAATTGAATTTGGGCTTAAAGTGAGATTCAACCTTAATAATGAAATCCGTCTTATACAAACCATGAGTAATTTAGATTAAAATGTTAATAAAAAATAGAAAGGCCTTGTCTTGAACAATTTGTTATATGTGTCTTAGTCCGTGATATTATTTGTGTGACCCAATTGGTCTATGACTCATTGTGCAGTAACTTTTTTTCAAATGAATTATGTTCATACATGACTGCACTTTCAGGATTTGGCAGTGAATAAAACAGTGAGGTTTGTCGTTTTAGCACTTTCAGGAATTCTTGCTCCAATGTTTTCTTCACACAGGAATGAAACCTGATAAAAGTCAAGCCAAAACGTTAAATCATAAGAAAAAGGATATGATTTAAACTCAAGAAATAACCACATGGTCCCAAACTCAAAGCTATATAAAGCTTTTGACAGAAAAAAGAAATGAATTAAAACTAATGGCAAAAGATATATATATACAATGGTTTGTATTTGGAGTTGGAGCAAGAAGAATATGATTTAATGCAGGTGTTCTGTGTGTTGTAGCTGACATCATGCAAAATTGAATCATTCTTCTCTCTACACAAATTTGTTGTACATGTAATCACCCTCACATGCAAGTTGCAACCTGTCATATACAAATTTTTTAAAATGTAATAAAGAAAACATAAATAACATGCTTTTTCCTTCTTTCAATGATACATGAAAATAAGATTTTTAATACACAAATACTACCAAACCTCACCAATCTCCTATGACAATCAATATGCTGATGCACATCGTGACTCAATCTATAATTATCAGCACATTGAAACAAGATCTACTTCTTCATCTGCCTAACAAAGTTGTGGATCCAAATGAATCTTACCAAGTAAGAGTGACCCCATTTGGTTACACATCTTCACTTCACCAATCTCCACCACCACTCCTGTCAAATACTTACTGCAAACAATTTCATTCCTCACCCATGTCTTAGCCTACTTCTGTAACATCATTTTCGTAACTTCTGCTCCACCACTGTCAACAACTTCACAAAACTGAAATCTCTGAGGTGTTGACACAAACGAGTCCAAAGGGAAAGAAAATGTGTACATACACTCGTTGGCATTCTCCATGGAAAAAGATCAGTTGTGCATGTTGAACAAAAAAGAGAAAGGTTTAATTATTTGAGGGAGGTGGTGTAAAGTTTTTTGAGTTTTAGTGACAAAAACTTTTCTTGTGATGATCACAAGAAAAGAGTATCAAACCCAACACATGGTATAGTTCAAGTGCTAGGCAACTTTAAAGTTTTCCTCAACTAAAGTCTTTGATAAATATGCATAATCCCTTATGAATGAAAAAATATCATCATAAACGAGTCTACCCTATTTTACTAAGATTAATTAAATCCATTAAAAAAAAAACATGATTAGCTAAATGCAAACGAAAAGTGACTTCTAGATGCCGAGAATATCAAAACGAAAAAACATTATAAACTCAAAGGAATGGCCAAGCACCAAACTTGTCTACTTTAAACGAATTTGTTAATTTCCTTTTCTGTGTGGAAGAGTCATTTTTTCTTTTGGAGACAATTAATGGTCAAGTTGGGTCTCTATATAAATTTCCACCTAATCAATACCTTTCAAGCATGAATGTTCATGCCCATAATGTCCCCTACTTAACTTGGAGACAGAAAAAACAGCATCCTTCCCTAAAAGAAAGATTTTTCTTTTCTCTTGTAATTAATTAAAGAAGATTACAGGCTTATAAGTGTTGAAGGACCACCATGGATCTTACACTGAGGGAGTTCACATATGGAAGATTCCAAAGATGGGGGGACATGTGAAGGAGAACCAGCTCAGTAAATAACGAAGGTGGGCTTTCTTTGCATTTTTGTGGAATTGAGAAGTCATAGTTTTTCAACAAATCTCTTGCACACTAGTCTTCTAGCTTTAAAAATAGGGCTGTGGCAGCTGTCATGACTAGTGACTCATGATACTTGTCACTTGACAATACTCGTTTTCCTTTAGGGTTTCAAAAAGATTATTAGGTTCTGGCTTAAAGAACCAAAAACAGATCATGGAAAGCTTGGATTTGTTGGCTACAACCATTCAAAGGTTAAACTAACAAAATGGAAAGTATCTTCAGATTTTCAGTTTCATTACATTTGTTATCGAGCATGGAAACTTTTGCATTGTTGAATCCAAAACAAAAACCTCTATTATTTTAAATGCATCAAAATTATTCAATATCAACAAACCAAAATTAGAAAAGGGTTGAGAGAAATTCGAACCAAGAGGGGGGGTACACCCTATTATGCAGAACATGCGAACACCAATAAAGTGACATGAGGCAGCATCATTTTCATCGAAGTGGTATGTCTTAATCCAAGTTTGAAAACTTGAACAAATTTATCATCCTAACGTGGAAGAAAACACGACCTCAAATCATGAGCTTATCTATTTGATCATTGTTCAAGTGAATTATGATGCTTTTCCTCAACCGTTGATTTTGGTATAGATATAAAAACAAGGTAGAATAATGTATCCAATTAATAATCATGACCAAGTGAACATAATTATTCAACAAATATCATGATATTTCAGTGTTACAACTGTTTATCCAATATCATGACATGTGTATATTATATTTGTCTCCATCGCTAAGACTTTTGTACGTATGACTTCATTTTTGTCACAGGTCCTTCAACTCTGTGGATCATAGACAGAATTAAATACCATATACAACATTTCATGTATAAAAATGACGTACATATGAAATAATTAATGTGCAAGGATATATAGTAATGATAATTTCTAGACTTATTAGTTGCAACAAACAATGATGCACACAATTATGAATAATTAAGAGAAATGGGTAAACAAAACTGACAAAAAAGAATTCATTTTGGTTTCCATAATTTGTAGATGAAGTTTAATTAAGGTTAATGAGATATAGGAATCTTATTAGCCACAAGGATTAAGGAGAGGGCCCAAACATTTTCAACCGTTAAATGTATGAGTCTGTTGCCCCTGATCTGGTCCCCAATAAAGGTAGTCACTTTGCCACAGCTCATAGCTATATGATCAACTTTTTTTATTTTATACTTTTTTGTTTTTAATGGGAAAACTTTAGTGGCACCTTAATCCTAATCCTCCTAAATCATTGAGACCACCATACCAGCTCATGTGATACAGTCTGTCAAACATCTATGTTTCTGCTTTTTTCTGTGGAAAACTAGTTGTTCTTCTTCCTAAAGTTGAACTGGCTTTCCTTCTTTTCCTGGAGTTGTTGCCAACCAAATTATTCCTCTCGCCACTTACTTTCTTTATTTGTTTCTCCACTTCAACTTCTCTAAACACTTTGAAGGTGATCAGCTTCAATTCCCATCATGGCTTCTGAGGCTGCTGCATCTGATCATGCTTCTACTACTCCTGAGGTCTGTTCCTTTCATTTTCTCGCTTTCAAAGCTACTCTGCATGATCTTCAACTTCTTTCTGTACTATCTGTGTCCTCAATTCTAAGCTCAAACCACCTCACACACATCTTCTTCTATGCTTCTTTCTCTGACTCTACCTTGCATATCTTACTAAACTGTGAACAAATTTTGTGATTTTGTTTTTAAACTTATTATACGCATGAATTTATTTTCATCAGAGAGTTCATGAATATGGAGAAAAGTAAAAAAGTTTGTTCTGCTTTGTCACTTCATTTCTCAACTTTTTTCATCGCCAATCGTAATTGAATATTAAGGATTTGCATAATACCTTTCAAAAACCTTTTTGTATTCAATAAAATTATTCATGTATATAAAAAATGAAATAAAATTGGAGTGGCATAGTGAAAGTGCATACCCTCAAACATTGGAAAAAAAAATGAAAAAAAGGAAATGAATTTCATCGACATCAATACCTAAATATATAGTCTACCAAAGTCGGATCTAAAAAACAAGTATCATGAGGCCAAAAAATAAATAATTAAAAAATTATATTTATTCTTTATTTGATCTGCCTCAACTAGATTACAGTTCTGCTCACAATTTTTTCTTATATATAAAAGTTTTAGAATTTTCATTATGGTAAATTAATGCAAGATTGAGACCAAAATATCATAAAGTTGTGTGAATAAAGGTTTCCTTATTAATAAGTCTCACAAGTAATAATAAAGCTAATGTTGCACATTGTAAATAATGAGAGTGTTTTGATAATTTATATAACCTAAAGGGACAAACTGGATTAAAAATTTGTTGTACTGTTGAAACTCTAAATTTTAAGTTATTGTATTCTTCACATAACTCTAGGATTATGAAAAATTGTGAATCCAACATCTTTATTTATATTAAAAAATGTATAGGGTTAAGATAAAAGTTAAAGAGTATCAAACATGTGTAAATCAAGCCAAAAATGCTTTTGCAACGTGCCACCCCACTTTTTCCGTTATTGCTTATAGTAGATTGTTATGCAAGATAGTCAGATACCCTTTTGATAAGGAGATGCCAGATAAAGGTGCCACCACTGTTACCATGGCATTTATGACAGAAAAGGTTGTGTCTTGTAGATATGCATTTAGTGCAAATCAAGGTAGTACCTATATCTTTGAGTTTGGTTTCTGAATTATAGATAATATTTTTTGCTAACTTGCAAATTATGAATATATTAAACAGAAGAACAGCAATAGCCATAAAATATGCTAGTGATTTCTGTGCCACGCTTTCTCACTTCCCCCACTAGTTTCAAATTCTAAGTTGTTTCATACTTACATTTATTGTTTGTTCATGCTTAATTGTCTCATCTGCTGCCACTCATGATTTAATCATAAATGCCTTTGCATGTTTATTATATAGCAATACGTGAAGAAGGAAAAGGACGAAGGCATTGCACAAATGATCGCTTCTTTAGCCAATGAAGATGAAGTCAAGCATGACAAGCCTGAGGATGCACAAAGTCCAACACCACCTCCGGCATTAGAGGCTTCTATTGAAGATAGTCTGAAACATGAAAAGGTTGAGGATGCACAAAGTCCAACTCCACCTCCGACAGAAGAAGGAGATCACAAGGTTGAGCCTGCTGCTGCAGTAGAAAACACTGAAGATTCAGTGCTATCAGATGCAACTGTTGCAGCCGAAGATAAAGTAAATGAGGAGAAGGAAGTTGTTCCTGATTCACACACTATCAGTGACACTGAACCAGTTCATGATGCAGCCAATTCCCAGCCTGATGAGTCACCGTCCTCAGAAACCACTGTGGAAGATACACCACCACAGGAGCTAGAAAATGAACTTGTGGAAACAGATGAAGAGAGACAAGCACAACCCAATGCAGAAAACATTCTAGAAGCATCAGCTGAAACCATTGAAAGAACAGGAAACACAGATGGGACTAATCTTCCAACAGAATCAGAAGAAGAGGTGGTGAAAGAGGCTCAAGTTTTGGAAACTAGTGCACAAGTGGAAGAGAAGCTTGAGCCTGTGGCCACACAAGCGCAAGAAAAAACAGAAGAAGCAGAAAAAGAATTGCAAGAAGCTGAGCAACAGAGCACAATTGTAGTTCCTGAACTAGCAGCTGATGTCGAAGAGAAACCAATTGATACCATAGAGGAAAAAGCAACAGGACCCTCAGAAGATGTGGTGGAAGAGACCAAGAACTTTGAAACGGGGCCAACGGAAACAGTGGAAGCAGAACCTGTGGTTACTGAAGTGAATGAAAACCAGAAAGAACCAGAGAAGCAATCGTTGGAACAAAGGGAAGAAGAGGAAAAACCAGACACATCTGAAATTCTTGAACAATCAGCAGAAAGCAGTGAAGCCATTGAGGAGAATACAAGAGAACTAGAATTTGAGGCAGAGGTATTGGAAGAGACTAACAACTTTGAAACAGAGAAAACAGAGCCAGTGGCTGGTAAAGTTGATGAAAGCCAAATTGTATCAGAAAAAAGAGAGGAAGAAGAGCAGCCTCAGACAGTTGTTCCTGAAGCAGAAGCTGAAAGTGCAGAACAACAAGGCAGTATTGAGAAGGTGAAAGACACTGGCAACACAGAGTCAGACGCAATTCCTGAAAAAATAGAGAAACCAGAACCTCTATCAACTGAAGTGGAGGAAAATCCCAGAGAACAACTACAAGTAGATGAGGAAGTTGCAGAAGCTAGTAAGGACGTGGAGTCTAAGAAAGAAGTTGTGATTGAGACTGCCAAGACTGAAGGAACATCAGATGACCCGATCAAGGAAGAGAAAACTGGTAAAGAGGAGGCAACTAGCCTCACTCTAAATGCTGCACAAGTTTCATCAAATGAGGAACCTCAAGCAAATCTTGTGGAACCTTCTCGTGAAGTTGTGCTTGAGACTTCTAAGAGTGAAGGAACTTCAGATGACACGGTCAAGGATGAGAAAACTGACAAGGAGGAGGAAACTAGCCTCGCTGAAAAAGAATCACAAGTCTCATCAAATGAGGAACCTCTACCAAATCTTGTGGAACCTTCTCCTGAAGTTGTGCTTGAGACCTCCAACAGTGAAGGAACTTCAGATGACACGATCAAGGAAGAGAAAACTGACAAAGAGGAGAAAACTAGCCTCAACGTAAATGCAGCACAAGTTTCATCAAATGAAGATCCTCAAGCAAATATTGTGGCGCCTTCTCCTGAAATAGTAGAAAAGGTTGTTGAAGAGGATGACAAGAAAGAATCAAGCATTACTGATGTGATTGAAGGGGTACCAAATGAAGTGAGTAGCATTATAGAAAGTCCAGAACCAGCCTCCATTGATCAGGGAGCTAAACCTGACTTAAAAGAAGAAAGGGAGTATTCAGTTCCTGCTGATGAGGAGGAAAAGGTTGCTCTTGTCGCAAATGATGATGACAAGAAGGAACCTGAAGCACCTAATGCTGCCCCTGGATCTTCAACAGAGGAAAAGGTTGAGGAACAGAATGAGGCAAAGACAGACACAACTCAAGCAGCAGAGAGTGTGAAGGTAGAGAATGTAAAAGGTGATAAAGATAACTCAGTAGTTGATGACAAGAAGGAAGGGAACAATGACACAAAGGTGGAAGAAATTTCTAGAGCTGTGAGTGAACCGGTTAGAGAAACATTGGCATCCAAATTTGAAGAAAAAGAAGAGGAATCTGTTGAACCTGGAGTGGATAAGTTAGAGAAAGAACAAGCTGTGGAGCCTGAGAAAACTGAGGTTCAAGCCATCAAGGAAAGTGACGCAACAAAAACATCCAAGGACCTTCCAAAAGAAACTCCAGCCAAGCCAGTTCAAAAGCAATCAAATAACATTATATCAAAGGTTAAACAGTCACTAGTAAAAGCAAAGAAAGCTATCACTGGTAAATCTCCTTCATCCAAAAACCTTTCCTCGGAAGCCAAGGGGGACATTAAAGTCAAATAATGGAACTGAGTGAACAAGTTTGCAGCATTTACGTATTTGCTTTATTATTTTTCATTGTCGTGGTGCATAGCACAATAGCATATGTGTTGGTTTTATACAATGTAATTTTTCTCTTGAATTTGTTTGAATGCCAAAAGGTGTGCAGAGTGTAGTGTATATAGAAGATGATCTAGGCCATGATATAGGCAGGGCTGTAAAATTTGATTGTTTGGTTCCGTTTTATTCTTTTGGATAATTTGCATTGTGTTTTTGTTTGTTAACGAGGAAAGCAATTTTAACTTACTGTGTAAAGTTTACATATTTGTACGTTTTGTAAAAAGACCTCGTAATGATCTAGTGGTATTGATTGTTACTTACAAAACTGCTTCAATTCTTATGCAATGCATCCATTTTTCTTAGGAGCTTTTGCAATCACAATTGGTTTCTCCTTGACTACGATATGATGTATTCAAAATTTCTAAACCATTGATGGAACAACTGGTGTGGTAGGTAAGAAATGTATATGTTCCGAGACCAACCAATTTACCAAGATGAATTGTCAAATAAATCTTAACGAGTTGAAATACTCAGTAGCACTAGAACAGTAATATGCATCTTAGTGCTCCCACTGTACCCATTTTCCTTAATTTTGCAGGACTAGGAGGATGAGAAAGTAGATAGCCATGGGCAAAGGAAAAAAAATATTATTTCATTAAACCAAAGAATCACTATGATAGATTTTATCAAATACTAGAATACATAGGTGAGGATATATCAAATTTCTACGCCAATTGATGGAACAGGTTGCCAAGTGGATGTACAAATAAGTTGCGTCTCTCAAGATATATTACAAAATCCGTACAATTTTGAGTCCGGAAATTAGGATGCAGTAGTTATTATGAGGGGTTTAACCTCAATGACTCTGATATATCCTGTGTGGTAACTGCAGGAGGATTTAGACTAACATTTTCTAAAATTTCCACCAGGCACGGTCTTACGGATCATAACCTGCATGTACAACTCAACAGTGAGTCTGTATATGGATTTGTGCATGTGTATGCGCATAGTGATAGATATTCAAAAGATTTACCAAAATATCGTTATCTGCTGGGACCAGAATTAACAGCTACTTTGTCATTAGCCTCAGAGGTACGAACGCCACTAGGAACCAAAGCAGATTGCTCAAATCCAACAACAGCTGCTTCACTCTAGCATAACAAAAAATGGATAACACAAGCATAAGATATGAGTGGGAGAATGGGAACAGAATGCTTTCATTAATATGAATGAACATTAATCATGGGCAGGATGCACTGATATTTGAACAAAAAGACCACACAATTACTTTTGATTTCAACCTTTACCTTTCGTTATTACATGTTTCTTTGGGTTTCTAAAACTGAAAATGTTCAACCAAACCACAAAATCTATGCTTGTCACAGTTGACATCTGGTCCAACTTCTAGAAATAATATCAATTCATAATATAAGAATGGTGATTTCAGGTGACCTAGAATGACTTGTAACACAATGAACAAGGGCAGAAATGGAGAGCAATAGGCTTTACACCTTTTAATTTTGTCCAGGGAAGCAAGTGCATAAGAAGATTAGGCAGAATTTTCAGAATGATTTGACAATACTTGCAAGTGTACTTCCTAACTGATTACCAAGTCAGGGTATTGCTAATGCTTCCATGCTCGACTGTTTTAATTAAATCAACGAAATAAATTGTTTGGGCTGAACATATATCATGAGACATATTCATATAAAAAGTCAAGAAATCAATCAGTAATACATACCTGTGTAGGCATCTGACTTGTTGAGTCAGGGCCACCAGTGTTTTGCTTAACTTGTGGGTCAACATTTGGCATTTGATTCTTTAAGCCAGATGCAGAAGCTGAATCCACGGTTTCAACAAGTCCTGATGATCCACAGGCATGTAGTCCCAAAGCTGGTGAATTCATGATAGGTCCTCCTGAGAAAGGAAACGCAGGAGCTCGCGGCATTGGCATTGGATGCCCTTGTCCAGGAAGCCCAAACCCTGGAAGATTTGATCTAACCATCCCATGAAAAGCAGTAGGTGCGGACATATGGGCAGCAGGAATATGACTTCCTTGCATTTGGGGCACCTGAATCATAGGAATTCTTGAGGGTCCACCATTCATGTCAGGCATTCCCATCCCATAACCCATACCATATCCCATATGCATGCCAACACCCATAGGTGAAAATGGAGCCATGTGTGGTGCATGCATGTGCTGCATTCCTGCGGGTAACATCATTGGTGGCATATATAAACCAGCTCCCATTGACATAATCTGCATCAGAAGATAGGAATCAATCTCATACTACTGATTTATCATCCATGATCAGAAAGTTTTAATCAAAGCCAGAGGGGCAGAGACATTACTTGAACTTGGAGCTGAAGTGTTTTAAGATACTCAATTGCCTCGTCCAGCATTGACGCTTTATCCACCTAATAGATCCGAATTCAGAAAAACCAAAACAAATGTGAAATCAAGTATCAAGATACGTATGTATATATATATATATATATATATATACAAAGTGTTTTAATGTTTTTGCTAAGCTTCTACTTTTATTACCAGTTTACTTAATGAGAGATCACAGTTCATATTTAAATTGAGGATTAAATCCTGTAAACAAAATGCTTAACTTCAGGTTTGGTTCTATAGATCTTATGTTGTTAATTCTGATAAACCTTCCACATTCCACAAGTTCAAACTTCAATAAAACATCTGTTTTACTGTTTAAGTCACTAGAGATAAACCATTAACCACCATTCCATGATCTTAAAAAGTTTTTCAGGTGTCTAACAAAAAGTAAAAAACAGGTAAAGCAAAGCCAAACCTTATTGCAATTTGGTATGAGTTCTTGTAATGCACGCATCTTCTCGTTAATCCTGTCTCTTCGCCTCTGTATGCATAAATTATAGTCAGAAATAGCAAAAGGTGAGACTAGAGGGAAAATGTGTTCTATAATTAATATACACAAATAGAAGACAGCCTTGCTAACCCTTTCAGATAGATTATGCACTTCAGCTGCACGGGTTCTCTTGGAACCTGCACCTCCGCGCCCACCAGGTGCCTTTTTAACACCCGCTGATTCTTCTTCAACATCCTTCATGTAAAATGTCTGCTTGATTAATGGAGGGGAATTATAAAATAAGTAGGAAACAATTAAGCACATGGAAACTATAAATCTAAGACATTAACTTACTTCACTATGGCACTCAGACTCATCGGTGTCTTTTCTTTTTCGCTTCAAATTTTGATTTGGCTCATCAGAAACTCTGTCTGCACCATTGCCAGAGCAAACAGAGGAAGAGGCTACTGCTGGCTCCATGCTTTTTTCAGTAGTTGTCTGCCCTTTAGCACAACTGTCACCAAGAACTTGATCGGGAATTTGATCAATCTTGGTGGAACTCTCTTTACAAGCAGGCTCTGACTGCTTAGAAGGCACACCGTTCTGTTGAACAGATTTCTGCGGCAAAGAGTTCAAATCAGTCTTGGATTGGTCCACAACCTGCTGACAGTGCATGGTCAGTTCCTTCGAACATTCACCAGTTGAATCAACAAGAATGGATTCAGGACGAATGCTGCTAGTTGCAGCTGCACCTTTATTCTTAATTTCAATACTGTCTGATCTTGCTGAAGCCAAACCAGACTTCAAGCCAATGTTCTGAAGATTAGCTCTTACCATAGCAGCAGGCCTTGCAAAATGGGAGAAATTCATTATGGTGGAACTGGAACCATTGCCAGGCATAGGTGGATCTTGCGTCTGCCCCTTTGAGCTACAAAAATCACTTGAGGAAGATAGAAAACGAGTAATTTCGCCATAAGACGCATCCTGATTTGCATTACTAGTATTGTTATTTTCAGTTATATCTGATGCTCTGGATCTAGAAGATACTTGACAATGATGCAATGATGGAGGGTATAACTGACTGGTGCTAGCTTTAGGTCCGGCAGTCTCAACCTGTTCAGCTGAAGAAGCCTTGAAAACGTTTCCTTGTTCTACAGAAGTTTTATGAGAATCCCTCAAAGCCATATTGCCATTACTTTTTTTATCCAATACAGTAAAACTAGTTGAGGCAGGTAGGAAATCAGAACCATAGTCATGTTGCAAAGAACCATCCATTGTGTAATCAAACCAAGGTAACACATCTTCGTCTTGACAGAAATCAACTTCACGGGACGGCACCGACATTGAAATTTCATTCAATCCAGAGTCTAAATCCCTAGATTTTCCCATCCGGTTGGCACCATATCCAACATCTTTCTCTCTGCCCTTGGGACTGTGAGATGGTAAGCAGTGAGATGGCAAACTCCTGCAAGATGGGCTCGTTCTAACTCTACTAGCCTGACCCTGACTTGAAATCTGACCATTCTCCCAAACTAGCTCAAAAAAATCATTCTCAGGCCTACACATCCAATTTTAAACAAAAGAAGACAGCGTTAAGAAAGAAATAAACAAAAGATAAAGTTCAAAATTCTAACACATACATAAAAAGTTCACAACAGCCTATGCTAATTAACTTACGAAGAACATTGATCAGATGCACGTGTGCTGTTATTCTCTCTACCAAGCTTCTCTCTAGCCAGACGGTATAACTCATACAAAGGCATGATGATGATGATGAATCAATCGATCCGCGGAACCAAAGTACCAAACTCAGGAAGCCTCAAATCAAATTATGGCACTTAATCCCCCTAAAGTTGCTTCCAACATACTGTATTATACAAACTGGGAAACCTTCGAAATCCAAATGAAGTTGGAGACAGAAGAAACTGGCGTAAGCCACCCTACTCTTCCTATGGCATGATTATAAAAGGAAAAGAAACAAGCTTACACTAACATTACATCACAGCAGCAATAGTTTACGAAGATAAAACCCTTTTATTTTAATATCTCGAGTCCTTATCAGGGAGAAACAAAACTTTAATACCTAATTAAATTAATAAAACAGCATCAGTCAAACAAATACTTTAACGACTTCAATGTATATAATTAGTATATGTCATGCACAAACCTTGCGAAGTATACTAAGAGACTTTAAAAGATTCGAACTTATTTGTGTTCTTTTCTTTCTTTTTATTTTTTCCCTATTCGGCAGCATTCAGGTCGGTAAATACAACCACCCAGTTGTGTTCCATCGACAATATTGACACCGATCCTCGGCTGAGATCGAGGAAACCCATCTAACTCCAATAATTTCAGGATGAAACCCAGTGAAATCTTTTCAAATGGGCATCCAAAAAAGATACGAAATTTTTGGAAACCATTAGGTCCTCGAGAATAGAGGACCAACGAGGTTTTCCTAATCCAAATGCAACAACACTACTATTACGGTGTGTTTGTTTGAACTGATTTGCGATGAAATACTGTTCACGACGACAGAAATACGAGATTCACCCACATTTGGTTGAACAGATTTGCGAAGAAATGCAGGCGAGGAAATACATGAGAGGGGAGAGAAGCTTTCTTCGCTAATCTGCGAAGAAAAGCGACGAAAGTCTGCTGGAGATAAAGAAAAGTCCAAGTTACCCTCTTCCATATGATAGCGGTTAAATCTTAACCGCTATTATAATAGCATTTCTAATAGCGGTTAAAACATAACCGCTATTATATATCACTTCTAATAGCGGTTATATCTTAAGTGCTATTATATATCACTTTAGATAGCGGTTACAGAGGAACCGCTATTATATCCTCCAATTATGATCGATCATTTCATAAATCTAATCGATCGGAATCATATTTCGCTCGAGCGAGATATATTCGCTCAAGCGAAAAACTAGTCGAGCCTCAATAAATTAAAATATAGTTGTATATGATAGCGGTTCCACTCGAACCGCTATCTAATATACACTTTAGATAGCGATTCATGAGGAACCGCTATCATATACAACAATTATGATCGATCATTTCAACTTATGATCGATCAGGATCGTATTTCGCTCGAGCGAGATATAGTCGCTCGAGCGAAGTACGGCTTATGAGCTCACGCTTTGAGAGTTGCTGTAGCCTACCTAAGCTCCGCTTTTTCAGTTCAATCCAATCCGCAGTGGGATTAGAGAGCAAGCTGGCGTGGGGGCAAAGGCAATAACATCCGACTCTACTTTCTTTAATCCGACTCTGGCACTGATTCAATCAGGAATTGAGAAGCAAGCAGGGAGTTGATGGAACACTTTAAGAACCATTCTTAAAGGGAGCTTATAATAGAGGTTAAACCTTAACCTCTAATAAATTTAAATATTAAAATTAACTTTATCAAAAATTAGGGAAACAATAAATTGTTATACTGGTTCACCCAATAAATTGTTATACTTGGTTCACCCAATAAATTGTTATACTTGTCACACCCAAGCAATTGTTATACTGGTTCACCCAATAAATTTATTGCTTTGTTTTTTTAAAAACTGATATGATAAAAGTTCCAAGCAATTCTGTTTATAAAAGAGTTTTCAGAAAAAACTGCATTAATTAATCTGTTCAAAGTTTGTTTTAATCTGTTCATATAGCCGTTAAATAGCGGTTACGGAGGAACCGCTATTATATCGTCCAGTTATGATCGATCATTTCAAATTATGATCGATCAAGATCGTTTTTCGCTCGAGCGAGATATAGTCGCTCGAGCGAAATGCAACCCGAGACCGAATCTTAAAATATTTTTTTGAATATTATGTTTTTAAATTTGCTATTAGAGAAAACCTTTCAGAATTCAAAATGTTAAATACTTTTAAATATTAAAATTAACTTTATCAAAAATTAGGAAAACAAAATTTATCCAAAAGAGTTCAAAAATGTATAAGAGTATTCTCAATTTTGAGTTTAATTATATTGTTCATTTTCAAAGTAGAAATTTATATTGTAGTTATTTAATTTACATTTTGTGATCTTCTTAAAATTAGCATCAATAACATTAGACTTTACATTTGATTCATACCTAACTAATTATAGATTAAAAGGAAAGTGGTATAACCATGCATTTTACTTTTCTATTTACCTTATTCTTTTAATTATTTTATATAATAATAATCAAAATATTCACATTCATATGGGCATTTTTGAAAATAATATTATTGTATTATTGTTAAAATTAACATCAATAACATTACACTTTATCACTTCTTAATTATTATTCTATTTTCACTGTATTTTATATTTGTTTTAAACAATAATGTACAATTATATTATTAGTTTTCATAATTATTTGTTATTATCAGTCAATATTAATTATTATTTTATATTTTATAATTATTTAATTATTAGTCAAATAATTTATTTAATATGTCAACATTATTTGAATATGGATATGCAATGTACATAATTTTGTAATTGTTTATTTATATAATTTTTAATAACTATCTAAAAAAAGTTAATTTTTTAAATTTGTTTCCAATTACAAACACTTTTAATTTTGTTTTTTCTTTTAAATATATAATCAATGTTAAAATATGGATAATTAATTAAAAATTTATATTTATAATCATTTGAACCTTATTTTATACAAAGGGTAAAATGGTAATTTTCTTAAATAATCAACATAAAATTATAATTTTTATATCTCATATCAATCAAATCATTCACAATTTCCCATAAACTTTCCTTTCACTTTTCATTCATCTCCCTTTCTCTTCAAATCCCTCCTTTTCCACTCTCTCATTTCCACTCCCTCAAATCACTCCAACCAAACAAAGCCTTAGAGTGGGAGTAATCATTCCCAATCCACACAAGGACTGGGAAGTTATCAAAAAGTAATCTTTTCAGGCCTAAGAGACTGTGTCTCAGCTCGAAGAAAGAGAAGACCCAAAATTTCAGAATACCCAAATGGACGTAGAAAGCGGCGAAAGATTTGCAGAGAGGCAATGCAGAAGAAAGCTGAGTCCAGCAGTGACACAAATGAGACAGACAGGAACATAAAGAGGATGCGAAAGTCAGGGGTTTCTAAGTACTAACCATGGTTTAGTCACAAGTTGTCGTGGTTTAAGTTTCTGAGAACCCTTCCAGCGCTACACGGTCACCCTCCTCTTAAGCGAGTGGATCACACGCTCAGTGTCATGAGACTACTATTCCTTTACACATTTAATCAATAACTCTTTTAAATAATAATAAATATATAAAAATAATCTTTTATTATTATAAAATTAATAAAATTAGTTGTTGATAGGATATATGGTTGATGGAAATGTTATAAAAAAACCACTAAAAAAAGTCTTTACTTTTATTATTGATTAGAATGCATTAAAAATATAATTTTATAAAACTTATTATTTATTAAATAGACTTTCTATAATTTCATAAATAATAACCTGTAACAAAAATATTATTCATGACGGGTAGGTTTGCCATATTGTGACACCACATTAGATAGGAGGAGTATGTGCCTCTCTGCGTGTCTCTATTCTGTGTACTTAGAGGGGAAGGTGTGATCTTTCATGTGTTTTGCACTTTGTATATATTATCTTAGCAAAATTGGGCAAGTGTGTGTGTGTATAAGTGCATCCATAATGCAACCAACAAAATCATGTCCGTATCATTATAACCTGTTTGGACAGTGACACTCTTTGAAGTAGATAATCTTAAGAAATAATGCTGAAATCAAATTTGTGCTTTGTAAAACGAGGGTTAAAAGATTAACAAAGTGATTGACTTGATGAACCCCCTTTTTTAAATTTCTGAATTGACAAAAAGGGCAATCTTCTTCCCTGATCGTTTATTGTGAAGACTTTGGGTTAATTGAGTGGTGGGTTCTGATATTTTGTCAAATTGCTTGCCAATGCAATCATGCCAGAAGAGGACTTGTGTCTTTTTCTGATTTTTTATGTTTGTTTGAGTTTTGGATTTGTTGTAAGAAGGGGTTTAGAACAATCATTTGAATTTATAAGAAAGGGTTGATTGATTAAAGGCAACTGCTTTAACTTAATTAATTGCAAATTTCTTAAAGAATTGAAAGCCCTTTTGTCAATTGTCATCAGGTAGAATCTAAGAAATTGGTAATCTTTTTGGTTTGATTTATTACATGTGGTCCCCCTATTTAATGTTACTGGGATCTCCCTCATGCCCTTTGTTTTTAGCAAATATGGGGTGGGATTATAGTAGGAGGGGGCATTCTTGTCACATTTCAAGGATGTGAGATTTAATTTTTATTTAGATAACCATATAACTAGATTAGTAGGAGTATTAATAATCTAAACATAGATAAATGATGAACTAATTAGATTGAGTGTAGGGACCACCTAAACAACTTATAAAATTAATTACAATAAATAAAGAGGAAATGAATGCGAAAAAGTGGGAAGCAGACTAAGCAAGATTAGGGAAGGGATTAGTTATGGATGAACGAGATAATCCGCAGGGGATTGGATGTCTGGCTGTCTTTTGAAAAGAGAGCACTGTGTCTCTAAGTAATCATGCTTATAATTATACCCAACATGTTTCTTTCTTACTATATTATGTGGTTGTGGCAAATGAAAACGAAGCACATGAACAGAAGTACAGAGGAAAGAAGTGTTGTTACTGAAATAATTGAAAAGTGAGAGATACTCTAACATCATTATTATTATAATGAAAAGAGTAAACTTTGAATGTTGATAAAAGAGAAAAAGAGAGTGAGTAAATGAGA